AGTAAAATAATACTTAGGTTAAAGGAGGAATCAGGCACATAAATGGAGCAGCAAGTTACTTTAAATTCCAGTGTTGACAATAAAAAAAAGTTTAACATTAAGTAATATAAATGAGGTTGAAGATGAGAAGCATTTGTTTAAGAAGACAAATTAGCCATGTCAAGGAGGAAGCTAGTTGTATTGAAATAAAGAATGTTTAAGTTCTAACACCATCAGAATGTCCCATTAAAACAGAAACTGGCAGAATTAAAAGAGAAACAAGTTCTTCTAAAAGAGAAACACATCATGAAAAAGCAGTGACAGGGTTGAAGATGAAACTGACCGTCTGGGTGGCTGCAGTAGGAACCATCACTGTTCTCGCTTCTGGGTGAACACGGAGAGATGAAATCCGTCTGAAAAAACAATCAATAAAGTTGTAAGTCAACAATTGTACATCAATGATAAATTAGTGGACACAATGTTTGAAAAGAGGAATGATACACAGAGCTGGTTACAATTCAAAGATGTCACCTGTGTCAGAAAACACGCCAAATGTGTTGCCTTTTTAACATGTTGAATTAAACTCTTTTAATTCAGTAAAATAATCAGTCTTATCACATCTGTGTGCCTCTTAACACACTTAAGAGCCAGTGTACATTCCAATCTTTAGCATGTTTAGCATATCTTAGATCAAAAAGGATAAATATGCATTTGTAACTTGTAAACTCAATCTGCCTCTTGGAATTAAGACTCCACTTTGCAACACGCCCACAACGTAACATTGTCAAATAATCTTTCAAATGTCATAACAAATTGAAAAATCATATTTTGGGTAGTCCATCTAAATAATGATGTGTTGGTTTATTTAAAAAAAGCAAATCATTGCATTTGGATGCTTTCTTTCCAAATCAATACCACATTGGTTACAATAATGGTGGAAGAAGAGATTTTCTTGTGATTTAGTGAAAGAAAATATTTTGGCCAAAAATGTGCCTAAAAGTGTGCCTTTATTTTAAAGAGTTCCTTCAATGAAAATGTATTGAAGTGCTGTGGCCGAAAATAAATATCCCAAAGGCATTCCAAACATCTCATGAGGCAGCACATGAAGCGCTCAGCTGTTCTCACCATGCCATCGGAGCAGTTGGAGCGCGGGCTCGAGGCGTCTGAGTCCCCGCTGTAGTGCTCCATGGGCGGGTAGAAGCTGTCCTCCCTGCCGGTCCTGAGCAGCGACTGCAGGGACTCGATGTAGCTGATAGCGTTGCGCAGGATGTCCACTTTGGGCAGCCTCTGGTTTGGATTGGACGCTGTGCATCGCTTCAGGGTCTCAAAGGCGTCATTGACCTTTCCCAGTCGTCGCCTTTCCCGCATTGTTGCTGCTTTCCTCCGGTCTTCGTTTGACGTCTTTCTCTTACAGGCCTTGCAGGCCCAAAGCAGGCAGTGCCCCGCCTGGTGGGGGCCCCCAGGAGCCCTCACATGCTCGTCCCCCTCCTCCTCCTCCTCCTCCTCTGCGACTGGGACGTGGTGGTGATTATGGTGATGGACATGGTCATCTGGCTTGAGCAGGCCAGCGTGCATCAGCCGAGAGTCCAGGTCATCAAAAAAGTTCATGTCACTGGTGCTGAAGCAGGGGTCATCGTAAAGGTCATCAGCAGAAGAGAGAGGGAAGGGAAGGTCGGACAGATCCATCATGAAGAAAAGTTCCTCCAAAAGTTCCTCCGATGACAGAGAAAGTCTCCACAAAGTATCTTCTATAAAATAAAGAAATAATATAGGATGAAAATATATGTGTCTCCTTAAAGTGTCCTGTCAAACTCAACTGATCTAAAGTAGAAAGTGTGTGCTGAGGAGATCTGTGTGTTTAAAGGGCCAGTCTGTGTAACTTCAACTCCCTCAGCTAGCCAGCTTTATAAAGAAGTCAGTGTAGGCGGGGCTGTGGTCAAATTACCAATGAACTGAGGGGTGTGTGTGTGTGTGTGTGTGTGTGTGTGTGTGTGTGTGTGTGTGTGTGTGTGTGTGTGTGTGTGTGTGTGCGGCAGGTGTCACTGAGTTGAAACCCAGCAACAAAAAGGAAGCAATAACAAAGTCTATTCTAACAAATCATTCAGCCTTCTGATGTTTACCAATGGACATACACAACTCAAATGATCTTTGAGATGTTAAATATAACAATTGTATTGTGTAGATTCCTGTCATTTTCTAAAGCTAATGTTAGGACCATTTTACTGCAGGCGGTTTTGACCTGATATACTTATAATAACTGTTAATATAGCTCCTCCTGTCACCCTATAGTTTAGGATGACAACTATTTGGAACATAAATATATATCCCAAAAATTGTTAAAGGTCACAATATATTTAACACATAATATATAGATTGTTCGCAGTGCTGAATCGTAATATCATAATTGTTATTATGGGATACAAACAGTGATACATCAGCAATAACAAAGCCATATATATATCACCAGTCAGTATAGCATTATACAGAGATCTGATTTCCGAGTGTTGATGTCTTTAATTGTAATCCTAGCTGTAAGAAAATAAGAATAAAACGTATAAAACCAACAAATGTTTTTGGAAAAATCATGTGTATTACTTGGTTAAGTTTAAAAAGAGCAGATTTCTGAAAGTTGTCAGGTTTAAGAAGAAATGAAACTTTCCAATGATGACACCCATTACATTAGAATAACAGTAAAGTAAGTGTATCTGTCACATAAAGGGATCTTTATCTAAATGTGTGCAGTTATATCTGACTGACAAAGAACTGAATGCTGGGAGCTTCAGTATGATGTCCTGCTGAGGAGGTCATTATGTCACACAGTCGTGAGGTCTCTGATCTCAATGTGTGTGTGTGTGTGTGTGTGTGTGTGTGTGTGTGTGTGTGTGTGTGTGTGTGTGTGTGTGTGTGTGTGTGTGTGTGTGTGTGTGTGTGTGTGTGTGTGTGTG